TCTTGCATTGTGAACGGCTCTGGTTCTTGCTCATGCGAGGGAACTGTCCCTGTTGGAGTATCATGTGAGGTGGACGCCTGGCAGTCCATGTCCTTAGGGGACAGCTCCCTTAAGTTGTGGCTGGGCTTCATGCGTTTCCAGCCGCTCCTCTTCATGGGGACCATTCAGCTTGGGGGCCCTTTGCTGGTCCTCTTCAGGGGGATGGCTTGCAGCCAAGCCAGGCTAGTATCCTCTTCACTGGGGACGAACAAATGCAGTTTGGATTTGACTGGGGCCCCGTGATGCCATAGCCCTGCACTTTTAATGCTAAGCCTTTAGATATTCTGCTCCAGTTTTGGCCTGCTGCAAAGAGTCGTTAATGCCAAGGGCAGCTCACTACTTTGCTGCACCTTGGGCTCGTGGAAGCACCGAAGGGGGGTGTGGTGTCACACTTAAGAAAGACAGGTTTGCTTTTGAGGAGATGAGCTGAAATTCACCTGGGGGAAGGGTTAGGGTTTGGGTTAAGGGGAGCTACTTTAGCAGAATTGTACTGCATTGTGTAACTCTGTTCTGCTTTTGTAAACTGTTCACAAAGCTCACGAGCGGGGAACAGTGTATGAAGATTGTAAAATAAAATGAAATAAAATAAAATAAAATAAAAGTGCTGGCGGTACGGCGGAGCCCCNTAAGTTGAAATTCACCTGGGGGTGGGGTTAGGGGTTGTGTTAAGGGGAGAAATGTTAGCAGAGATATGAATTGTATTGCATTGTGTAACTGTGTTTTGTTATTGTAAACCGTTCACAAAGCCCGGGAGCTGGGAACGGTGTATGAAGATTGTAAAATAAAATAAAAGTGCTGGCGGTACGGCGGAGCCCCTACGAGGATCCAAAGGCAAGAACGTCTTCCATCACCCAGAAGGTAAGTTTGTCTGTCTGTCCTGTGTAAGCACCACACTGTGACTCAGAGTCAGGCAAGCAATCTCCAGGGCACTCCACCCGGCAGTAAGAGTCTTCAGGACGCCGGCCCAAGCCGCGAGGCTGAATGGTGGGGAGCAGGTAGAGGTGCCACGAACACCCTGAGACCAGTTCCCAAACTCAAGACGCACCTCACGTTGTGAGAGAGCACGGTGGGGTTTGGGATCGGCCGGTTGACGGGTGTGTCCGCAGTGGCAGATAGGCAGGGCGCTAGGCACTGGAAGGAGATTGCTCACACACACAAGCAGCAGGCTTTCCATGGGGCAATTTCTGTCAGGAGCGATGGGGTGTGCGGAGGCCGCAAGGGAGCAAAGAGAGTAGGCGCTGCCTCCTCCAGCCCAAAGCGCAGAAAACCAGCAGAGCCGGGACTGTGGCTGCTGGCCCATGAGGTTCACAGGTGACTCAGCCTATTGGAGTATTGGGGGCTTGCCCAGTTTCCCTGCAAGGAGGGCAAAAACTGGGAGCGTCCTGGGATTGAGTTCTGCACCTCCCCTTCAAGGTGGGACGACACCCTGGCACTGGCCGGGGTTTGGGTCAGCACCGTCTTGGGATTGTCTGACTCCCGTGAGTCAGGCTGAAACTCTGTCTTGGGGGTTCGGTTAGCACCGTCTTGGGTTGGCTTGTCTTGTCTGCCTCATCTGCAAGGCAGGACAAGCTCTGGCTCTCTCAGCACCATTTTGGGATTGGGACAGTCTGACTCTCCCGTGAGGCAGGCTGAAACGCTGGCTCCGACTTGGGGGTTGGGTTAGCACTGTCTTGGGTTGGCTTGGCTTGTCTGCCTCATCTGCAAGGCAGGACAAACTCTGCCTCTCTCCTCGGTTTCAGTCAGTGCAATCTTGGGGTTGGGATTTGGGACAGTCTGACTCTCCCGTGAGGCAGGCTGAAACTCCGTCTCCGTCTTGGGGGTTGGGTTAGCGCCGTCTTGGGTTGGCTTGTCTGCCTCATCTGCAAGGCAGGACAAGCTCTGGCTCTCTCAGCACCATTTTGGGATTGGGACAGTCTGACTCTCCCGTGAGGCAGGCTGAAACGCTGGCTCCGACTTGGGGGTTGGGTTAGCGCCGTCTTGGGTTGGCTTGCCTGCCTCATTTGCAAGGCAGGAAAACTCTGGCTCTCTCAGCACTATTTTGGGTTTGGGACAGTCTGACTCTCCCATGAGGCAGGCTGAAACGCTGGCTCCGTCCTGGGGGTTCGGTTAGCGCCGTCTTGAGTTGGCTTGTCTGCCTCTTCTGCAAGGCAGGACAAACTCTGGCTCTGTCCTGGGTTTCAGTCAGTGCCATCTTAGGATTGGGATAGTCTGACTCTCCCGTGAGGCAGGCTGAAACTCCGTCTCCGTCTTGGGGGTTGGGTTAGCGCCGTCTTGGGTTGGCTTGTCTGCCTCATCTGCAAGGCAGGACAAGCTCTGGCTCTCTCAGCACCATTTTGGGATTGGGACAGTCTGACTCTCCCATGAGGCAGGCTGAAACGCTGGCTCTGACTTGGGGGTTGGGTTAGCGCNGGATTGACTTAGCACCGTCTTGGGTTGGCTTGTCTGCCTCATCTGCATGGCGGACAGGCTCTGGCTCTCTCAGCACAATTTTGGGATTGGGACAGTCTGACTCTCCCGTGAGGGAGGCTGAAACTCCGTCTCCGTCTTGGGGGATGGCTTAGCACCGTCTTGGGTTCGCTTGGCTTGTCTGCCTCATCTGCATGGCAGGACAAGCTCTGGTCCTCTCAACACCATTCTGGGATTGGGACAGTCTGATTCCCCCGTGAGGCAGGCTGAAACTCCGTCTCCGACTTGGGGGTTGTCTTAGCACCGTCTTGGGTTGGCTTGTCTGCCTCATTTGTAAGGCAGGACAAACTCTGGCTCTGTTCTAGGTTTCAGTCAGTGCCATCTTGGTATTGGGTTTGGGATTTGGGACAGTCTGACTCTCCCATGAGGCAGGCTGAAACTCCGTCTCTGTCTTGGGGGTTGGCTTAGCACCGTCTTGGCTTGGCTTGTCTGCCTAATCTGCAAGGCAGGACAAACTCTGGCTCTGTCCTCAGTTTCAGTCAGTGCCATCTTGGGATTGGGATAGTCTGACTCTCCCGTGAGGCAGGCTGAAACACTGGCTCCGTCTTGGGTTGGCTTGTCTGCCTCATCTGCATGGTAGGACAAGCTCTGGCTCTCTCAGCACCATTTTGGGATTGGGACAGTCTGCCTCTCCCGTGAGGCAGGCTGAAACGCTGGCTCTGACTTGGGATTGACTTAGCACCGTTTTGGGTTGGCTTGTCTGCCTCATCTGCATGGTAGGACAAGCTCTGGCTCTCTCAGCACCATTTTGGGATTGGGACAGTCTGACTCTCCCTTGAGGCGGGCTGAAACTCTGTCTCCGTCGTGGGGGTTGGGTTAGCGCCGTCTTGGGTTGGCTTGTCTGCCTCATCTGCAAGGCAGGACAAGTTCTGGCTCTCTCAGCACCATTTTGGGATTGGGACAGTCTGACTCTCCCGTGAGGCAGGCTGAAACGCTGGCTCCGTCTTGGGGGTTGGCTTAGCACCGTCTTGGGTTGCCTTGGCTTGTCTGCCTCATCTGCATGGCAGGACAAGCTCTGGCTCTCTCAACACCATTTTGGGATTGGGACAGTCTGATTCTCCCGTGAGGCAGGCTGAAACTCCGTCTCCGTCTTGGGGGTTGGGTTAGCGCCGTCCTGGGTTGGCTTGTCTGCCTCATCTGCAAGGCAGTTCAAGCTCTGGCTCTCTCAGCACCATTTTGGGATTGGGACAGTCGGACTCCTCCGTGAGGCAGGCTGAAACTCCGTCTCCGTCTTGGGTTGGCTTGTCTGCCTCATCTGCAAGGCAGGACTAACTCTGCCTCTGTCGTCAGTTTCAGTCAGTGCCATCTTGGGATTGGGACAGTCTGACACCCCGTGAGGCAGGCTGAAACGCTGGCTTCGTCTTGGGTTGGCTTGTCTGCCTCATCTGCAAGGCAGGACAAGCTCTGGCTCTCTCAGTACCATTTTGGGATTGGGACAGTCTGACTCTCCCGTGAGGTAGGCTGAAACGCTGGCTCCGACTTGGGGGTTGGGTTAGCGCCGTCTTGGGTTGACTTGTGTGCCTCATCTGCAAGGCAGGACAAGCTCTGGCTCTCTCAGCACCATTTTGGGATTGGGACAGTCTGACTCTCCCGTGAGGCAGGCTCAAACACTGGCTCCGGCTTGGGTTTGGCTTAGCACCGTCTTGGGTTGGCTTGGCTTGTCTGCCTCATCTGCATGGCGGACAAGCTCTGGCTCTCTCAGCACCCTTTTGGGATTGGGAGAGTCTGACTCTCCCATGAGGCAGGCTGAAACTCC